CTCTCTCTCTCTCTCTCTCTCTCGCTCTTTCTCTCTCTCTCTCTGTCTATCCCTCCTCTCCCGCCAAGCCCACCACCCTAACACCTCGTCCTCGCTGCCCCTAGTCCATACCCTGGAGGAGATGCGCCTGACTGGTAATGCCCTGAAGGGGACGCGTCCCCTGCTGTCTTTCGACAAGTCCTTCGACGAGAAGCCCGAGCTTTCCCTCATCCGTGAGTTGCTGATCCAGGTCATCGGTACCCCTCGCGGCCACCCGCGCAGCCGTCCCTTCTTTGACCGCGTCATGACTTTCTCCCATGTTGATGGGCGCATCTGGATCCGCAACTACCAGGTGCGTGGTGTCCTGGCCTCCCTGTTGGCTCTATCGCCGTCCTTTCTCCCTCCACTCCTTTCCGTGTCGTCTCCCCATGTTGACCCCCGCCTCTCCTCTCCCCTCCCGCCGGCCATCTGTGTGACAGGTCATCCGCACTGATAACCAGCGCGCCCAGTCCGCGGCCACCTTCCGGACCGAGGAGATTGGCCCTCGTGCGGTCTTCACCCCGATTCGCATCTTCGACGGCAGTTTCCAGGGTCGCACCCTTTACAAGAACCCGGACTTCGTTTCTCCGAACCTGGTACGCACCTGAGCCTTCCTTTCTGCTCGCCCCTTCTCCAAGGGGGCAGGGGCAGCCACCCACCCCGGCTGCTGGTCCTCTAACCTCCGCATTTGGAAATCACAGTACCGCCGCCGTCTGCGCATGTCGCAGTCTGTCCGCTACCACCAGCGCAAGATTGACGAGGCCTCTCGCGTGGGTCGCTCCACCCGCCGTGTCATGCCTGAGGACCCGGTCGACTCCACCTGGCTCCAGGAGGCGGAGGAGTAAGTTGCTTGGCATGCTGGCAAGTGCAGGACCTGCCTCATCCCTTCCGCCCTCTCTCTCTCTCTCTCTCCCTCTCTCTCCCTCTCCCTCTCCCTCTCCCCCTCGACAGAGATATACATGTGCATGGTCTCCCCCTGCCTCCCCCTTTTGGGCTGCTCAGCTTGAGACTTCCCGCCATATGCCCCTGGCTCTCCCGCGTGTCTCTCTCACCGCCACACATACACAACACACACGCACGCGCCATGCGCACAGGCTGCCGATGTGACTGCCCATTTCGAACGGGGGTACACGGGAGCACTCTGTGCAAAGCATGATCGTGGACGAAATAAATAGAAGAAATGTCACACGAACTCACACACACACACACACACACACACACACACACGCGCGCGCGCGCGCGCGCATACATACACGCATACATACATGCATACATATGTACATATGTAAACATGGGACCCGAGGACAATGAGCACCCCTGCTTTGCGACAGTCGTGGTCGTGAGAGGGGTGACTTGGGGGAGCGGGGAGGTGATAGCACTGGCCGGGGGCGGCCGGGGTCCACGAATTCCGAGAGACACGCAAGAAGGGAAGCATACAAATCAACAAGTACATTATGAACGTGGGGGGGGGGGAGCCACACGAGGGGCTGGGAAGGACATCTCGATCGCGGGAGCAGGGGAGGGGGGGGGGGAGGGGAAAGGAGCAAAAGCGAAGACGTACATGGGGAAAGGGGGAGGGTGCCACTTTCAGGGCAGAGGAAGTCTGAACAAGGGAAAGACTGTGGGAGTGCGCAGACGTCGCAACTTACTCGCTGACGGTGGCCTCCTCGGTCTTCTCGACCACGGCGGCCTCGGCTTCGGCATCAGTGGCAACAGCCCCAGTGGGCTCATCCTGCCCCTCTGGCACATCGGAGGCGGCGGAGGCGGTGTCGGAGACGGCGGCGGCGGCGGCGGCGGCAGCGAAGCGGCGCACGCGCTCCTCGCGCTTGGTTTGCGCCTCGGCAGTGCGGGCCACGCGCTCGTGCGCCGCAATGGCCGCACTCACGCGGCGCTCGGACTCCTCGGGGCTGATGGCGAAGCGTGCCTGGCGAGCACGAAGCTTCTCAGGGTCCAGGCCGCCGGAGCGCACGAGATTGTCCAGGAGGTTGTTCTTCTCTGCTCCGAGTCGGGAAAGGAGAAGGGGCAGGGGGAGGGCGCGGGTCAGGGGAACGGCCAGTCGGTGTTGCGACACAAGTCCAGAGCATGGGGGGCGCGGGGCGGGGGGCGGGGCAGAGTGCCATAGAAACGCACTGGGGGCGACAGTGGCCGGCGTCGAGGCAAGGGTCTTGCTCTTGACGACACCAGACTCAGCCTTGTTGTGCGTGATGCCGAAGCGAGCGGCGCGCTTGGCACGAGCATCCTCCGCCGGGGTGGCGGTGACAGCGACGGCAGTGGCCGACGGGAGCACCTTCTCCTGGTCGGTGGTCGAGGGGGTGGACATTGGGTCGATCGAGAAGCTGAAGCCGGGGGCAGATGGGGTCAGGCGCGGCGTCTCAGGGAGCGAGATTGGGCAGGCGATCAAGAGGGAGGAAGGGAGGGCGGAAAAGAGGACAGGCAGGAGACCGGAGGGGATGGCAGTCGGGAAGGGGAGAGGCCACAGAAGGGAGGGAAAGGGGATGGGGAGGAAAGGCAGAGGGGGCAGTGTACAGTGAGGCGACTCTGGTCGAGGCAGTTGCTGCAGAAGCAATTGGGACAAAGAGGGACAAGGGACGGGGGAGGGAGATGCGCTGCATTCGCCAGGACATGCCCCGGCAGTAGACGGGATCCGTCCGAAATACCTCCCTGAAGAGAAGAGAGGGGGGACTCGATGCTTTATTGTCGTTAGAAAGGGGACATGTGATCTTTTCCTATGTCCGGGAATGTGTCATATGATGGTCATGTGTTGTGTTCTTGCCCTGGGTGGCCTGTGGGTGGCCTCCCTTTGATGGCGGCCCCCCGCGATCGTGGGGGGAAGAGAGGGCCCGACAACAGCACACAGCGCCCCCTCTCCTCCCTCATCCTCTTCTTGCTCGGGAAAAGACTAGCAGGAAAAAAAAAAAACCCTGCCCAACTAGCATCCAATGGGAAACGACGGCGGCTCCTTCTTCCGCCGCATCGAGATGGTCCGCGTGCGGGCCGAGCGCGAGAAGCTGGCCAAACCCGATGTGCGTAGGCTCCCTCTCAATAGCTTGCCTCCTCTGGCTTTTTTAATATTATTGTCCCTCCTTCCCCGGCTGGGCCATCCTCCCAACGACATCGCGCCCACCCTCTGACATTCCGCCCTCCTCCTCCCTCCTCCTCCCTCCTCCTCCCTTCTCCTCCCCTCTCCTCCCCTTCCCCCTCGGCGCCTCTCGGGCATGGCTGCATTGTCCGAAGGCTCTTCACGCACAGTGGGCCACCTGCTTTCTGAGCTCCACACCCTTGGTAGATCTTGTTTTGGCGGATGGTGTGACCACGTCCATCGTGGCCTGCCCGCTGGGGCGACTCTACTCACGCGAGGCGGTGGTGCAATTCCTCCTCCGCCGTCGAGAGGTCACCATCTCCGAGGATCCCACGGCCCATCGTCCCGACATGGCGCATATCCGCCGGCTGAAGGTACGACCAGCGTTCCAAAGAGAGGGGGGGGGAGGCGCGAGGCGTCTCTAGCCGAATAAAACCTGCCCTGACTGACATGCGACATCGCGAAAAAAAAAACCCACCCAAACAACGACACCCAAACAACTCAGGACCTGACTGTGCTCAAGTGCCCACTCGCCAATTCGGGCCAGTACTTTGTGTGTCCAATCACCGGAATTCCCCTGAACGGCACCAATCCAATTGCCCAGGCCCGGCCATGTGGGTGTGTGGCTGCCATCAGGGCCTGGGCCAATGCCGGTGTCATTCGCCGGGAGCCCGGCGACTCGGGCCTGCCGGAGCCCCTGCCCGAGTCGGCTTGCCTTGTGGTGAGTTGCCACCTTCCTCGCTGCCCTGGCCATCCCCTCCTGCTGTGTCCCTCCTCGCCTCTTCTCACCTGGAGCTGGCAGCTCCTCCTCACCGGACCCGATCTGACCCTCCTCCCCTGACTCCCCATGGTCATGCTGTGATCCAGTGTGGGCAGCCACTGTCCGAGCAACTGGGACTTGTTCCCCTGTATCCGGGGCCGGAAATGGAGGACCTTGTACGCCGGCGATTGCGTGACATTTCGGCCATTGGCCGGGGCTCTCGCGGAAAGGCACTCCGCTCGGATCGCCGGGTTTCCCCGGAGCCTGCCTGTGCACCAGGCACCGGTATCGACACCGGGGGCCTCCTGCTTCCGATGGAGGGGGCCGCTGGTACCGAAGGGGAGCTGCCCTCGACCGGGTCGCCGAAGGACCACTCCGCTCTGGCGGGTGCTGAGCTCCCGCGGCCGAAGAGCCAGCCAGGGGATCCTGGTCTCGAGCACCCCCGCGACCGCGGTTCCGATCGCACTCCAAACGGCCACCTCGAGCGCGCTCTGGACCATAGCCATGACCGGCGTCCGGATCGCAGCCCCGGCCCCCATCGCCAGGGTCAAAGGCTCGGCCGCCTTTCGCAAGACCACGCGGAGGACCGGGTGCGCGGCCACAGTCCCGGACGTCGTCGTAGACGCAGCCCCGGGTCTCGGGAAGCCAGCCCCAGCCGCCGCCGAGACTGGGACCGGGACTCGCTCGATCGCCACCCGCCCCGGGGCCTGCGTGGCCACCATCGGGAGCAGGATGCACATGGTCGCCATGACCGCAGCCCGCGCAGTCCCCCTCGCCGGCACCATCCTGACTCCTCTGGCGATGGGTACCGCCGACAAGATCGCAGCCTGGATCTGGGCCAACACCGTGCCCGCCGGTAGATGTGGCGCGCATTCGGGCGCATGCATTCTCGACGAGGCAGACGCGCGACGCCTGGGCGTGAAAAAGGCCGCAGTTCGAGGTGGTGCCTCGGCTGATTTGAAAATAACACGTGGATTGTGGTGCTCCACAAGGCACTCACGAATAGCCCATCCTCCGGGGAAGACGCCTCCCACGACGGAGACCTGCGCGGAGTGTTGCCCCGCCTGGGCCGGGGGGGGGGGGGGGGGGG